ATTTTTTTTTTTTTTTTTTTTTAAATACAGTGCCTGATAAGTCCTGGCCTATTTGATGTTCTTCCTACACAGCACTACTTTTAAGAGCACTACATGGATGCATCCAATTTCTCCCACTAGAATGAAAGCAACAGGCAATTTGGGTACCTGAAGAACTAAATGATTTTTTAAGAAATCATTGCTCAAATGTATTAGAGGGATGGCATGTCTAAGGGTATTAGACAACTCCTCTAGATTTCTAGTTGAAATCAATCTAGTGTGTCAGCAAAACATAGAAATTATCATCTTTCCGGTTGCGTCGTAACCTTTGCGTAGCTCATCCGAACCTGTCTGGTTTCTGGTTAGTAAGAATCCATGCACATTTCTCTCATCCCCCTACATTTATTTTCTTCCAAGACAGGTGGAAGATAGCACACGTCACTTCTAGTACACAACCTGTTTTCTGAAAGAGCTTTGTGTTTCAGTTACATGGCTGTCCAGCCCACATTTTTACCTCTAGTCTAAATTAACCATTAGCATACCTTCATATTTTATTAGACTCAACTTCTTAATTCCTTACACTCATCATTTATGTTCTCCGCTGACTTTTCATTTCGTCACCTGTAAACATCTACCACAGCTTATGTGCTACCGTTGAGTCTGGACTAGTTTTCTGCCTCCTGCCCGTTTCTAACAGATACTAGGGCAGGTACTGGATCTTTCATGCAGGCCTTCTGCCTGGAGACTTACGGGATGGCAGAAATCAAGAGGTACGCTATTTTGCTGTTTTTAATTACTGAATCAGAAAGTCACTTTTTAAATTAAGAGCTGTATCATCTCTCAGTCCTTAGGAATGTGATATCAAGATGGGATCTTCTTGCTCTTGACCTTGTCCTCCAAGTTTGCAAAATATTTCATTTTGGCTAGCAGCTTCTTGGCTTCTTGAAGATCATCTAAAATGAAATAAAACTGAAGTGTTCAGTGGGATGGGTCTTCAGTTTCAGCTTGGAAATGATTATTTTTCAGTTGCTGGGCTGTATTATTAATGGGGCACGGAGACCTCTGTATAGGAATCTTAGCTTAAAGAGGGAATTTCAACTCTGAGACAAGATGTTTCTCCACAGAACAGCGAATATATGTTCTGTAGCATACAACACATTTGGCAACAGCAAATATGTTCTAGCATTTACAAAATAGTATAGTTTTAAATAGTAACTGACAGAGTTACCTCTTTCAAAAGCCTGGTTCACATCTGTGATCAGTTTTTCTTGCTTAGCTGTAAAATAAATGAACAAACAAACCTCATTTGCTGTTATCTTATTAGAAGCATCATTTATGCTTAGTTTGTTCAAAAACTGGTCAACAAGCAATTTCTAATGCTGAATGAAGTCCAGTGAATGTCTCGCTGTCACAGACTATGACCACCAAGCCAGGCCCGACTAGACTTCCAAGGTTATCCGGTGCTGGCTCCTGCATCACACAGTACTGGTCTCCAGATGCTTTTCCAAAGGACATGCCTACCTGCTTCAAGGCAGCCCCATTCCGAGACATGTTGCTAGCTCCCAGGAGAAATGTGGTGCCAAGTACACACCTTTAAGTGGCTGCCAACCTGCTGGGAGGTAGAGTCAGTTGTGCATACCCAAGTCATTACGCTGCTTCCAATTCAGAAATGGCACATGTGAAGCAGGAGCAGCATGTCTCAGGCTGGCACTGCCTGGAGCTATACAGACTTATTGCAACTGTTTTCTTTAAGCTCTTCTTGGGCTTCTGCATTGACAATACCCCCAAAATCTCCTCTAGCCAAGAGCCATCTCTTTATAGGCAACAATACCTTTACATCATTATTGAAAGGTTACACAACTCCTACTTCTTGTTGCTAAACTCATCAGAAGCCTTCCAACTAAACTTACAGAAAGTCAGAAGACACATTTCTTGTTAGTTACGAATCTATTCATGATAATGCATGCACGGGATTTTGCTGTCAGAAGTAATCTTGGCTTGATAAGTTCTATAGAAAAACGTCTGCTTTGAAATGAAAGCGGTTACAACACCCTGTGGGCCCCGCTACATCAGAGCTGAAATAAGGTGCTTTTTAGTTTGCTTAATGTAAACACATTCTGTTCCTTGAGGGCAGATGAGATGTCCTGCATAATTTTCCAATTTGGCTGAAGAAAATGCAGTTGGCTTTGTACCTCACCGTCAGCTGCAGCTGCTCCCAAGCGCTTGTGTTCACACTGTGTACCCTTCACATGTATATTCATGGGACAGAGGAGAATCTGGAGGTACCCGTGACAAATCCATGCCCATTTGTTTGGTGCTAATGTCCTTGGGCTTAGATGTCTCTTCTCCTGCTTACCCCTCCCCGAGCTGTGTTTAGCCCAACCAGCCACGTTCTTTTAGTGCCCTCCATTCCCTTGATCATCCTGGAAGCCTTTTTCACACCTGTTCCGCTTTAAACTTATCTTTTTCCAGCACAAACTGTGGAAAAGTCTCCCATCATATAAACTTTACCTGCAATTAAGCTTTCCAGCTCTTGTAAGCTAGCCTCATCTTCAGGATCTGCCAGCTTCTCGTTGATGTCCATGATTTCCGCGAGGAACTCCATGTCTGTGTCATCGTCCGTCCCCTCCGCCAGCTTCACACCATGCAGCTCCAGCTGGTGAAGAAGAGAGCAGCAGGCGCTTGCTCACCATCAGGGGTTCCCTGCTCCGCTCCAGCGCCCTCACTCCAAAACACCACGTGTTGTAACGGGGCCAGTTAAGCTACTTGCTACCTACTCGTTTCACAAGCAGAGGCTCGCTCGGTGCTGTCTGGGGGCTTCTGCCCCCACCTGAGTCTGATCATGCACGGACGGTGCCGTGAAGGAGCAGGACCCTGGCCGCCCTGTCTGTCGGCGCGGGGGTGCCGGGCCGGACGAAGCAGACCCCCAGCCCCACTGCTCTGTGGTCTCGTGAGCGGACACACGCGGCTAGTTGCCAGGAGCGCAGGGACGAGCCCGGGGCTAGAGCAAGGCAAGGCAGCGGCCCAGGGGGTGTGGCGGAGGGAGGGAGGGAGGCGGCCGAGCCCGGGGCTCACCAGGTAGAGGCCGCGGCTGAGGGGCCGCAGCAGGGTCTGGTAGGCCGCGTTCACCAGCGCCGAGTGCTGCTGCGACAGGTCCCGCTCCGCCTGCGGACACGACACGGCCGTGGGTGCGGGCCCAGGGGCGGAGCCCGCCCGCCACCTCCCCGCGCCCCTCGCCCCACACCTGCGGGCGGCGGCTGAAGTAGTCGGGGTGCAGCGCGCGCTGCAGGCTCCGGAACCGCCGGCGCAGCCGCGACACGTCCAGGCCGAACGCGCGGGCGCTGTCGAGACACCGACACACACGGACGGAGAGAAGGAGCGGCGTGAGACCCACTGACCGACCACCACCCCGGCCTTACCCTGCCCGCCCCGGCGCTCACCAGCCCATGAGGCGGAAGAAGTCGGCGCGCGGCTCAGGCGGCTGCAGCGCGCCGCAGGCCGGGGCCGGGCAGAAGCAGGGCCCGTCGGGTGCTGGGACAGGGACGGGGCCGCCGCAGCTCCAGCAG